GCGTGAAACGTCCTGTTCCAGTGCAAACTCTTCCGCGGAGACCCAAACCAGATCACCGGCGCGGATGGGACATGGTACGCGACGCCTGTTGGCTTGCTGCTGCATGCGAACTTGAGCCTTTTGCATATTTGCGCGGGCTTGAGTCAGCAAGTCCCTGTACTTCCGAACGGAAGCGGGGGAGCAAGCGGCGTCAATGTCGGCTGGTGGAGGGAGGAGAAGGTCGACAAAGATGCGGCCTTTCCGTCTACCGTGGTGCAACTCGAATGGAGTCACGTCGATCGTCGGGTGCACCGAAGTGTTGTGGGCGAACTCGATGTCGGGGAGGCGGTCAACGCAATTTTTCTGGTCCGCACGAATGAGCGTATGAAGCATCATTTGAACAGTTTGATGTGCCCGCTCCGTCTGCCCGTCTGTCTGAGGATGTCGAACCGAACTTAGTTTCATTGTTGTGCCGGACTCCTGCATGAGAGCAGTCCAAAATGCCGACATGAAACGAGTGTCGCGGTTGCTGACAATGTCTTCTGGTACACCGTGGCCACAAATCCAACCAGTGTCCAGGAGGCGTGCCAGCTCGGGAGCCGTGGAGTAGTACTTGCAAGGGAGAAAACGCGCGTACTTACTCAATCGGTCCACAACCGTGAGGATGCCGTCGTGCCCGAGCCGGTTGGGAGGAAACGGACCGATGACGTCCATGGCAATGGAGAGACCGGTTTCCCGTGGGATAGGCATCGGGTGTAACTCGCCGTAGGGATTGCGGTTGCGGGGCTTGCTGCGTCGGCAAACTTCGCAAGAGTCGCAATACCGAGTGACATCGGTAATGAGGTCGGGCCATCGGAATCGCTGTCGAAGCCGTGCAATAGTGCGGTTGACTCCGAAATGGCCAGCGATTCGTGAATCATGATACTCGCCAAGGAGGCGAGTCCGAAGACGAGGGTCGCGTGGGACATATAGTAAGTCCTTGCCTCTCRAGTGGAGGAGCAAGTACCCGTCGACAATGCGGTAATGGCTGGCCGGCGGGTGATCCGAAGATAGTTGTGCATAGAGCGTGCCGAAGACCGGATCAGATTAATATGCCCGGATGAAGTGTTGCTGAAGCTCCTCATCGAATGCGAAGGCATGATGTGTCATAGCGCAAAGCTCGGGTCTTCGCGAGAGTGCATCTGCTGCGCGATTTGAGAGGCCGGGCAGATGTTTCGGTGTGAAGTCAAATTGGTCGATGAAGTACATCCATCGTCCGATCGTGCTGCTCACCGTATCCTGCGTCTTGTAGTAAGTCAATGGATTGTTGTCCGTGACCCATGTGAACCTACGACGCCCAAGGAGGAAGTGCCGCCGTCGCTTGAGAGCCATGACGATTGCGAGCAGCTCCTTCTTCCTTGCATCATCAAGCGAGTTGATGGGAGACACTTTGTGGCTGAAATACTCCACAGGGTGCCAGTCATCGCCGTCGTGCTGTTCCAAGACTGCCCCAATGCCATAGCCGGAAGCGTTCGTAGTCACTCGCGACGGCAGGGTGGGGTCATAGATGCTAAGGACGGGTGCCATGAGCATAGCCGTCTTAAGTGCTTGGAATGACCGGTGTGCGGCGTCATCGAATACGAATGGAACCTTTGGCGACTGTAACCTCGTCATAGGTGCARCAATCCTGGAGTATCCGGTGATGAATCGCTGATAGTAGCCCGCCAATCCCATGAATGAACGAACGTCCGTGGTGTTGGTGGGTTCGGGCCATACTCGTAGGGCCTCGACCTTGTCCGCAAGCGGACGGATGCCTTGCGGCGTCACATAGTGTCCCAAGCTCCTGCTGTGCGAACTCGCACTTGTCGTGATTTGCTTTGTACTTGGCTTGTCGTAGCCGCTCCAAAACGGCGCGCAGGTGTTCCACATGCTCGTCCAAACTCCGACTATACACCAAGATGTCGTCGAGGTAGATGAATACAAACCGATCCAGCATGTGTCGGAACTCCGTTGTCATAGCCGCTTGGAAAGTGGTTGGGGCATTCGTAAGGCCAAACGGCATGACCAGCCATTCGAAATGCCCATACCGTGTCTTAGACGCGGTCTTGTAGCGATCCTCCTTGCGAATCTCGAGTTGGTGGTACCCTGACTTGAGATCCAGCTTAGAGAAGAACTGGGCGCCGCCCAATCGCTCGAGAAGGTCGTCGATACGTGGGAGAGGGCCGACGTTCCTCATCGTCTGCGCGTTGAGCTTGCGATAATCGATGCACAACCGCAGGTCCTTGTTCTTCTTCCGGACGAAGAGGATAGGAGCACCGTATGGCGATGA